AAAATATTCTAAGTCACACATTTTACTACTTCACTACACAAATTGAGCAGGTTCACGCACTTTACTACATGAGTATAGTTGCAAGACAAAGCCAAGACCTAATGGCAGGTGAACAGTGAAGAAAAGGCCTAAGGTATGGGTTGACATTTCGTACGAAGCAAGTTGGCCTTCAAGCAGCACCAAAGACAATTCCTTATCCTGCTCCAACACAAGAAGACACAAGTACAATACTTTGGACGTCTAGATTTAAATCCTCTCAACCAACGGAGGAAATTAATCTACTGGAGATGCCTATAAAAATAGGCCGAAGCATGAGTTCAAAAAAAAGTCATTGAGTTCAAAGCAAGTGATTCAGTCATTACACTACGCATATCCAGCAAAAGAAAAAGTGCTTGAACACTCTGCTTTGACTCATGCTTCACTAAGCTCTTAGACTAGATTATTCATTGTAACATTTATAGAGCTTAGGTTTTAGTTGGTGGCCAGAAATTCCTTGTAACATTTTACAAGTGGTTGTAAACACTTAGGAGAACAGTTGTTCGGATCCTAAAGTGTGGTTAGATAGATAGAGTACCTTTTGATCCCCACTGGATCAATTGAGAAAAGTCTAAGGACTGAGTAACTTTGAGTGGTGTTATACTCATCGTGAAAAACCTTCAATCTAGGCCAGGGTTGTCAAGGCTAGATTGGCACTAATTGTATTGGGCTGAATACTTTAGTGGAAATCCATTTGAAATGGAATGGGACTGGATGTAGGAGGATTACACCACCTCTGAACCAGGATACATGGTGTGTTGATTTACTTTCATACATACAGAACACACACCAAACACATCTCACTAAAGGTTTGTAGTTTGCCAGCAGCATCCTAAGCAGTAGTCTTCATCGACTCTACTGGTCTTAGCCTACTGCTTAATAACTCACTCTCCTTGAGAGTGTTTTCCACTAGAAGTTGTCTTAAACTCAGAAGGTAACTCAGCAGTACACTGGTCTTCACCCTCCTGCTGAGCCCACTGCCCATCCAAACGTGTCTTTCCAAACCCCATAACAAGCCAAAACAAAAAGCCATCCAAGAGTCATCCTAGTCCTCAGCAGTTGCCTCAGCAGTTGCCTGCCAGTCAGCAAACTGCCTGTGCAGCAGTAGCCTAAGCAGTTACCTGCTCACCAGCCTACTGCCAAGCCTACTTCCTCTCGTAACCAGTCTAAACATCATCTAAACTAGAAAGTTATCTCACACTAAGTATAAAGAGGTTAAAGACTTCCGCTGTGCATCTATTGATCTCTCAAAAGATTATAGATCAACTCATCTTGAGGGAAAACTTCATAAAGTTGAAAAAGATTTAAAAGTCTATTCACCCCCCCCCCCCCCTCTAGACTTTTACCTCTATCCGGGACCATCATATTCGATACTAACACTTATACGTAGTATAGGTGAAGTAGAGTTTGTATCCATAAGGAAAGGAATAATTATCTTTTTAGTAAAACTAGTAAATAAGGGGGGTTTTGGGATTAAGTGATTTAATTTAATTAAACACGAAGATGAACGACTTATATGAGATTTAATTCAAAGATAAAAAGGACTTGACATTGCTACTTTCCACTTGTTGATATGTTTTAGTTGATCATGGTTATATCTATAACTTATCCCCTCTCAATACTCAATCGAGGTGTATATCCAATTCATCGAGGGTAGTTATTAACAATGACCGTTCATTATAGGGGTGGGCATAACAGTTTGGTTTAACCAAACCAAACCGTACCAAACCGAACTAAACCGAATCGAAACCGGACCGTATGCAATTTGGTTTGAGTTTGGTACTATTTCTTCCAAACCGAATTTAATCGAACCGAACCAAACCGAAACCGATAAAAACCGAACAAAACAGAATCGAACTAAAGAAACTCAAAAAACATTCATATATTATTAAAATTGGTGGTTTGATTTGGTTTGGGTTTACTTAAGTAAACCATTTGGTAAACATTTGCTCAAACCGAATGGTTTGGTACTTTGGTTTGGTTTGGTTTAAAACGGAAAAACTGTAAACCGAACCGAACACCGAACAACATATATATACGTATATACTTTGTATTTATCTTCACTCTTCATTTTTAAGATATAAATAAATAATTTAGACATGAAAATACATATTTTAGCATATACTCGTATCATTTTAACTTTTACACATTTCATACATTCATTATGACAAAGTTAGCTAATACGACATATTTGTATATATTATGTTTGGCGATAACAATAGCAAATTGCATTTATATTTTTACATGATTCATTTGAATAAAATTGTGAATATTACAACATTTGTACCACCGACTCTTTTAGGTTTTTTAAATATTTTATGTGATATTATAAATGCTAATCAACTATCTTATTTTTTGTAAGAAGTGAATTTTTTGTAGTGATAAAAAAGATGTTACAAGTTTTACATTATAATATTTTATTATTTATTTTTCTATCTTTTATTTCCTTTTACATTTTATTTAAATAATCAATAAATAAAAAAATGATGACTACTACTTTCATTTTCTAATTCTAAAATATAGAACTTGATAAAATAAAATAATAATCATAAGCAAACGAATCAAATCAAACTAAATTAAACATAATATTTTTTACTTTGGTAAACCGAACTTCAAACCGAACCGAACCGAAACCAAACCGAAAAACAAATGGTTTTAGTTTGGTGCAAATTCTCCCAACCCGAATAAACCGAAACCAAACTGAAACCGAAGAAAACCGAACCGTAAACCGAATTGCCCACCCCTAGTTCATTAATAACCCTACCTATTAGTCAAGTATAGAACAACGTCGTATACCGATTTAATAGTAGCATTTGACCTCTTAACTCCTTGATGAAATCAATTGAGATTGATAACCTCAACACAACGGTTTTGGTTTAACCAACATAATTAATCCCTCTTAAGTTTATTAACCACGACCGTGCATTAATAAACCGAAGTTACTTACTTGTGAAACCATCAACGATTAACCATCGGTTCGTCGATTGATTCTAGTAGTAATTAATATATGAAACAAAACTAGTTGATCTTTTAAGTAATGTTCAAAATATTAATATGAAATATGAATAAGAATTAATCAATATTCAAGGAAGAATATTAAAGATGATAAATCCTACTATAACTAATGTCAAGATGTTAACTAATTGTCATCTTAGCAACTCTCCCCAACATTTGGTATATAGAGGAAGAAAATAAATACTACTATAACTAATGTCAAGATGTTAACTAATTGTCATCTTAGTAACACTCCCCAACATTAATTTATAGATGGATTAAGGGAAGAATTAATATTCAAGGGAAGAAGTTAAGAAAACAACTCACAACTTTAATAATCAACAAGCTTCAAGAGCAACACCAAGAAATGGAAGTTTAGCTCCTCATTTGAAGACTATACATGCTAGAAAAATACGTAGTATAAAAAAATGTTATTCTAAACTGAGATAAGAAGTGTATGAATTGGTATCTAATTGTGAAGGGAAGGAGATGTGTTTATAGGCTTTTGGGGATGCAGCTCGTGTACCCGATCGAGTATACATAGGGTACCCGATCAGGTATTTGCAGAATGATGAATTCGAGCTATACTCGACCGATTTCAGGGTTTAAATTAAAGGTATACCCGATCGGGTGTGTCGGTGTACCCGATCGGGTATAACAACTGATCGTGGCCAAATCTTCCCCTGCAAGTCCCTCTGTTTCCCGAATTGATCTGATTGAAAATCAAGTAGGTACCCGATTGGTTATAGGGTATACCCGACCGGGTACAGGTCAAAATCAGGAACTTTCCTTCTTTGTCTTGTATTCTTGCACCGTCCTCTTTTGGTCTCACCAATGATCATTTGATTGATCCTGCATCTGTTTTAACTCAGAATAAACCTAATCTAAACATATTCCAACTATTTTACAAACTAACTCTTACACCAAAAGTGTGTAATTTCCGAAATATTAAACAACCAAAACTAACTAAAAACATAAACATACAAACGGAAATTACAAGCATATCATTCATCATATATTCTCATCAATTGATGTTTTTGTCTGATTTCACACTTATCATTTGATTTGGGTCTAAACGAACGTTACAATGGCAATGAATGGCTTTATCGTGGAAATGAATAGCAGCTTTCAGAAGAGTTGTTTTGTTATCGTGTAGGGAGGTGATCTTTGAAATTTGTTCACAAGTGCTCAAGTCAGTTACCACCCAAGGTGCAATTAGGATGGAAGTAAGAAACTATAGCATTTGAAGATTGAAGCGGTAATTAGGTGGGAAATGTGGGAACGAATAAGCGAACAAATCACGCTGAACTTAGATATTAGAATGATTTTGGTTCAATTGAAATGTTGGCATCTGATTTGAGTTTGTTTAAACTTGATTGGTCCGAAACTAAAATCAATCTAATTAAGACATTCTTAGGCAACATTAAATACACATAAATAGATCATGACAAATCCAACAAGTTGAAAGAAGATAGTGCAGATTTAAATACATGAAATTAGAAAATTTCAATCTAAGTGAAAACTTATTTCTTTCGAAGTGAACGAGTATTACTCTGAAGAAAAACTAGTAGTTATAATGAGTGAACATATACTCCATTTCAATTCTATTTATAGAATGTTCTCATATGCATATATATATATATATATATATATATGTGTGTGTGTGTGTGTGTGTGATTTTTTTACTCCAGGCTCACTCCATTGATTTTCAAACCCTTATGTGCCCAGCAGGTTTCGAACTCGAGACCTCTCACTGGGCACGGTAATCTCACAACCAGTTGGGCTGGAATGCTTGGTTATTTTTATGTGATCTTTTATCTTCACTTTATTTACGAATTACAACCACGTAAATGTAAAAGATATTTAAGAAATAAATATTACTCACCCCTTTATCTCTTATCTCAAATTCCATAACCCAAACAAGCCAAACAAATCACCAGGTTACTCTTAAAAAATCATATAACTAGATATATTGATTTTTCTTTTCATGAAAAAAGATACCAGTATATTGACATTTAACATGTTCAGTAATGGGATGGGGGCACCGATCATGAGGCATGTGCCTATTTAAAGTTCTGATCCAACCCCTCAAACGGTGGACCAGCACTTGGACCCATCTTCCAAGAGGGATTGCAAAACTCAAAGTAAAATCACCCATCAGAACTCAAATTTGAATTATTATATTTACAATAAGGAAAACCCCTACCTTTCTTACAGAAAACACAGCCGGAAAAAAAAGAAAGGAAAAAGGTACAATCCTAGCCAGCTAAGCTTTAAGGGGCGTGCCTCAGCTAAGATGAAGCTGCTGTGGAAAAAAGTTGAATCAAATGTTACCACTTTCAGCAATCTGTCTGACTCTCAACGTTAGATATATTAGTACGAGTGTCCCCATGCTCGACCTATAGTAGTAAGGCATAGTCAAACAACAAAGCGTAGTTCCTTACCAGGAAATTAAGGAAACAAAATTGCAGAAGTTTGTTGAATTTATCTTACAGAATAGAGAAGAGGAGAACCACTCTTCTTGAACTGAAAGAGGCTGAGCGCTTGTATTTCCTCAATCTGTTGGTAGCCATATCATAGCATCTCTCATTCATGCTTTTATCTATAACAACAAATCAAATACCAAGAAACTTGATAAGTTATCTGCAGATCAAGAAGCTCAAAGGTGAAAACTACTTCGAATTCTTTCAAGACCAGAATGATTGAAGCTTTCAATCTAACACTTAAAAAGATTCATGAATTTAGTAGTAAAGTATTTATCATAGATAACTTTTAACATAGAAAAAATGAAGTTCAAGATTCTAAGAAAATGTGAGTACAATGAAGGTAGTGGACAAAAATGTGATTTTTTATACTCAAGTGATTACAATAGTAATTTTAGTGACCAATGGTGTTCTGTTTCATACTGTAATGGCCGTGACGTATACTCACAGTAATTTTAATCACGCTTATATCCATAAACTTTATTTTGATAAAAACTAAGGAAAACCCTCTTGATAAAAACTCCATTTAACTATTTACAAAACAAAGATCATACTTTTATTAAATTTGTACCTCTTGAGAATAACTTGGGCAACTCAAAGCTGTTATTCATCAACAACTGCATCAGCTTTCCTCCTAGCATAGATGTAATCTCTCTATGCAACATTCTCTGGAAAACACACAGATTACTTTATTAGTTTACAACCATACTCTGAAGAATAATCTACTGTCTATCTTTATGTACATTTTCAGTATTAAAACACGAAAACGGACTTACTGCTAAAGAATCATCCATCTTCAACTTCCCACTAATTTCATCACAAAATTCAGCTTTAGGGCCCTCCAGCTTCCCTTTCTCAATATCAATATCTATGCGCGTGGCATGATTTTCAGCATTATTCATCTTCTGTTTGATCTGGCTTCGACAGTTTGACTGGGCATCAATGGCTGCTGAAGCTTTCTCTACCTTTGGGCATGAGAGTGTCCCAAATTGTGGGTTCATAGGATCTCCATCATGAAAGGTATCATTAATTGGGCCTTCTTGGCTATACTGTAATGAGAAAAATAACTTTTTTTAGTACTCTAATGTCATAAATAATTGGATTGATGTCACTCAACTTAACCATAATGCCCATGAATCATACTAACAGCATTATTTAAGCGCATTCTAAAACACTGAATCAAATCAATTGGCTACTTTCCAGCTTTCCTAAACCAAAGCATTGTAAACCCAAATGCGTCTCTAGTATTTCAATGTGGATTCTTAACAAGAGAAGTAGGACAGGATAAGCTAAAATTGATCAAGTGAAAATTGATGACCAAGGGAAAGGTCACCACAATATGCCATATACGGTAGTATATAATTATATACGTATGTGTGTGTGTCTTAGAAATAATATGTATAAAAACTAAAAAGTAATAATCAAATGTCTGCTCTTGATGGACCTAGGCTGTGGGGGAAAAGACATTGCACTCTGGCAGCGTTGCTTCGAGTGTGATCAAAATATAACTTCAGACCAATTTATAGCTGTTCATTATACAGAGAAAAGAAAAAACCCACAGCCACGATCACTCAAGTACTGACATCCATTGGCAAAGAAGTATGTATGATCCTACCTTCACTAATATAAATACGAAACTTGGATAAACAATACAAATATAAAACTCAAATGTGATCACAAATAACACGAATGATGAATGTTTGTTTTTGCATTTTTCATCTCATGATTGCATCTGATTTGGATTTGTTTATGGTAATAATTATTCTAGTTCTCAGTATAAACATAAATGAATAAGTCTGTTTGCAATATGTTGTTTTAGTCAACTTTTACATTTGCAGAAAGAAGAAAAAACAGCTCAAATAAAACTTTTCCTTCCATCTTGATTTTTGAGAACTTTTATTTTTACCTTGTGATATTGCTTGACTTTTAACCCAGACTTTTTTGTTCACGCCTACCTTCCACCTTTTATACGTAGTATATTTTTTCTACTTTAAACTTTTCACCCCAAATATTTTCAAAATAATTGTCCCACATACCGCAAAAAACTATGGAGCACAAAAAAGGAAAATTCTTGAAATGAATTATCCATAGGACCATTTATACATTTGTTACTTGTGTAAAAAAAATGAAAATTCAGTTTATTCTTGTACAGAAAGTGCACTTACGAATTAAGTAATACACTCTAGAGATGTTTTCTAAAAAAGTACTTTCTAAATTAAATCATCCATGATCTATTGACTATGGATCGAAATGTCATGTCCTACTTCTCATGCCTTATTGGTGTGCAATTAATTTAGGCTTTTAGCTAATACGGAGTATTAATTAATTCTTTCTCTGTTGAGGAAAAGCTAAGAAACCCTCCTTCAATGTATTTTTGTCAAAGCATTCCCTGTAGTCCTATACCTTTCACGGACCATTTCCTGATTTCCATACCCATAGCTTTCATTCATGTATGATTGATAAAAACAGATGATATTTGACAAACCATTTCTAGCTTATTTAGTCCACTAACGCATTTAAGTAAATTAGTCTTCGTTTCGAAGGCATGTTTCTCCAATTCTCCGCTTGAAAGCCGGCCTTTCACCACAACAGCATATATAACTGTGCTGGTTGAATAGGCTTTGATTGGGAAAAGAATACTGTATGAGTAACTTTTTAAGTCAAATGGTTGAAATTAATGAAAAAACATTATAAAGCTCCACTTTTAGATAATAATATTATGTCTAATACTTCGTATATTAAAAACGTTGAAGATAACAATTACGGAGTAATAAATAGTCAAAAACTTTACTAAATTTGACCATTTCTCCATTTGCTTCATCAACCAGAAACCATAACCAAACAACGGAAAAAGATACACCATAAAGATAAGTCTAGGAGATTGAATTAACGGTTGAACCTTCAACCTTTGCCTATTCCTATTCGTCCATCTCGAGAGAGAATACCGGAGAAATAGAGACTCAGTTGGACACAGATGCCAGCAAAATTCGCATTATTCATTGTTAATAAACAGATCCACAAACAAGCAACTAACAAATCGGAAACATAATCTTAGAGCGCGCAGGAATCGGAGAGAAGACCAAAGCCGAGACAAAAAGCATAGAACAACAAACAAAAGGCAGCACAAACTACACAGGATGAAATAACCAAAGCAAAACCTAAAATACGGATTGCAGTCTGCAAATAAATAGATGAAAAACTCACATCTACACTTGAATCCGCCGCCATTGGTGAAGAGACTGTGAGTTGCAGAAGATGAAGTTGTCTATGGTCGAGAGCTCAACTGCATTGCAGTATCTCGGCAGCGCAAATTCGAATGCAACTGAGATGTTAACGTTGATATATAGACTCCATGGAACTATGGAAGGAAGGGAAGATGCAGACGAGAGGTGTAGGGCGCACTGTTAAAGGCCAACGTACTACGCCAGAAAAGCTCTCAAATCACGACAAACATATTCGCATCTTTTTTACTCTTTTCTGGGCAATTGGTGCTCTTCTGACTTACTCTTTTATTTCTCTCCTTTTAATTTATACTTTACCCTCCAAGCTCATTCAAACTTTTCTGCTGATTTAAGTGAAAAAAAATAAAAATATATTTTGTTAATAAAATAAAGAAAAAGTTATATGTAAAATAACTAAAATGATCATTTACAGTAACTTCAGTCAATACATCCAAAAAAGTAATTTCAGTCTTACTTTTTCTGCTTATTACACAATTCAGCGCGCGAAAACTAAAATTACGTATTTGGTGAAAAAGTTGGCTGATAATAGGCCTGGACTCGGGCCGGGCGGCCCGCCCCGGAACCGGCCCAGCCCGGTTACAGTTTGAACCGGCCCAGCCCGGGAACCGGTCGGGGGGCAGTTCGGGTCGACCCGGCCCGGTAGTCCAGCGGTTCGGTCTCGGACCCTTCAAATGGCGAACCGGCCCGGCCAGTTCGGGCCCAGGCCGGGCCTATTTATTTATTTTTCTTTTTTTTTTTTAATTTTTTTTTAAGTTTTTGGGTTGGGCTGGGTATTTTGGGCCATTTGAGGTGGTTTGGGGGTGAGGGGGGAGGGTTGGGAGTTAATTAAGAAAAGCCAAAAAAAAATTAAGTTGAACCGAGGCCCGGCCCGCACCGGACCCGGGGGTTACCCGGGCCGGTTTCGGGCCTCCCCTTTCATGAACCGAGGCCCGGCCGGGCCTAGGCCCGAACCGGCCCGAGTCCACCCCTGGCTGATAAGCTTGATAAGCAGCAAATTTGTGTTGCCAAACGAACTCTAAATGAGCTAAAATTAAATAGACTTGGACAATTAGGTGACATGTAGCTTTATTTGGATGAAAAGTTCATCTTAACTAAATCTATAATTAATCAGGTGATTTGTAACATTACTTAAAGTTCCCGTTCTTTGGGCATATATAATTAAAGTTGCGCAATGGGGTCCCTAGGGTGGATGACTATCCCCGAGACCTTTACACAGAAAATGACTCGGATCCATTGATCTAAGGTGGAATCTCTCAGCCCAGGAGTTCCCACACCCGACCCGACAGGATGGTGAAGGAGTAAGTGACGATGACTCAAGCAGCAAAGTGATAATAGACCGATCATACACAGGGGCGGATCCAGAAACTTTAGTTATTGGGGGCACTAAGACACTAACTAAAAAAATGAAAAATATTTGAATAATAAATATAAATTAATTTAAAAAATGAAATCATTTGATATTATCAAAACAAAAATATAATTTTTTTTACAATTGTTATCTACGAGTTTTCATTTTTTGAAACACTTTATCGCATCTATTTTGAAATTGTATCCAATAATCTTTTTCCATATTACAAATAAGGCAATTTGTCAGAAACTTGTCGTTGATCCTATTGCGTAAACTTCATGACTTGAAAACGTTCGTCTTGAAAAAAAATACTTTACTTTATGAACTCTAGCGATTGCAACTCGCAAAATCAATGATAATTTTATTAACCGGTACGCTTAATAATACTCTCTATCTCACAAAACTTAGAGAATTTAATTGACTTTTCCTGATCAACAATAATCAACTTTGAAATAATGGTTTTAGTTATTATATTTGTGTGAAGCTTATAGCATTTATACATTTATGAAAGTTTTGTAATAAAGAACATTTTCATACTTGAAATAATTTTGTATTAAAAAATATCATTGGTTAAATTTGACCCTCATTATAAATTTTGAAAAATCAAACAAATTTTGTAGGACAGAATGACTATGAAAGATTTTTTTTTGTAGCCATCTATCTGCTCATCATCACTTTAACAAGATAGTTGAGGCCTTTCAAGAGACAGAATTGCTCATCATCACAATTAACAACTTTTTAATTTCTTTTTAGAGAATAAAAGATTTAATTTTGGGTGCCTAATCAGTTAGTTGTAAATACTGAATTCTCTATGTAAACTGTATGTAAGCTAAATGATTTTTTAGCAATTAGATCAAATAATTAAAATAAATATGTTAAAAAAATATGAATTAGAAGGGATAAGTGTGGGCTAGTTGACTATGGAGTGCACATTTGGACTTTGGAGAGCCATTTTTTTACTCCGTAATTGAGTCTGTATAACTTGATGGGGGCATCCGTTTTTTTGGATTGGGGGCACTACATTTTTTTTTAATAATATATATCTCTATTACACTAAAATGTTAAACTTTATTGGGGGCATGTGCCCCCATTAACTTCTTGATGCATCCGCCCCTGATCATACACCCGTGCGCGCCAGAGGTCCAATCATATTTCAGGTTCCGTAAGAAAATGACCTGGATCCTCAAAGTGACGCATGGGACTCAGCTTATGTCGATTTTAGAGTCATGCAATTCAAATTTTATCTTGTTTATACTCAAACATTTATTTTATGGTAATTTTATATTTTTCGGTCATTGCTTAAATTATATTGCCAACAATGTCTACTTCATTCAGTTAGAATTTCAGTTTGAGCGACTTCTATCTAGTTCCAGACAGCAGTCTCTATATCAAATAATAGACTTCAGCTTCAGGTCGTTGTTTCAAAACATAATCTAGGTACGGTCTCTTGGGATAACGTGGAGATTGAATCAGATTCTTCTTTGGCGGTTTCAGAAATTCAGGGAGGAACAAGTTGGTCTTCGGGAGGGCTATTGGCAGAAGACATACGCGAAATTAGCTCGGGATTTAATAATCTTTCTTTTTCTTTCATTCGACGGTCAGCGAACAGGGTTGCCCATATGTTAGCTAAGGCAGCCTGTTTCTATGTCTGATAGTCAGTTTTGGGTGAATTCACCCCCGAGTTGTATTATGAAGGCTCTATCTTTTGACCTTATTAATGATAATTAAGCTGGTTTTTTCCAAAAAAATCTAGGTACGGTCTCATTAATATATGGTGTATGTGTAAATTTGATTCAATCTGATCTAGTCTGATTTGGTTAATTTAATCTCGTATGATATGAGACTTAAATAAGTCCAAGCTAGTGAAATATATTTACTCTCATCAATACTTAACTATAATCAGAATCAATATTTTAAGATCTTTTTCGTAAAGCGTCACTACCTATGTCTATTAAAACTTTGTTATCCGGTAATGTTTGGACTTTGGACCATGATTTTAATTGGCAATCCCCTCATCCCTTACAACTTTGTCATATTTCTTTTTTGGGATATCCCAAAAAACTTTGCTACTTTCCTTTTTAATAAATTATTTTTTGGTTTCTGTTATTTATCTCTCCTTTGCCTAAACCTCAACCAGTTTTTACTTCATTATTCTTCGTGCTGGTCAAACTTGGCAAAGTTGTAAGGGACGGATGAAGTATAATATTATGAAAGTTATAAATTTTATATTGTTATGAAAATACTTTAAACAAATATTCTCTTGTAACTTTTATAATATACAATATCCAATAAAAATAACTAGTTGGTCAAAGTTTTAAAGATGTCAAAGTTTTTAGAGACAATGGATTTAATACGCAGACTGAATTCAACGTTTGATGGCGAATAAAGTAATTCATGGTAGAAGATAAATGATCCTGTCATGTCGGCCTAGTAGAATCCACCATGAGGCTGCCTCCATATGAGATGATTCCTGGTGGATTTGTATATTGATGAATTTTTGTGAGAATTATTTCATGAAGAGGCCATTTGGAGCTCTTGAAATGGGTTTATAAGCCTAAAAGCATAAAAAAATCCCCAAACACTTGCTGAATTGGCTACTTGGGCTGATTTTTATGATCAACTGAAAAATCAACACAAAGCTCTGGATCAAAAGCTGGTTTTTATGATTTGTCTGCTGTTTTCAGTTGCCTATAATTGAGAACAAAGCTCCGGATCAAAATCTGGTTGTTCACGTAGTGGTCTACGAGTATATTTTATCGTTTTTGGACTTTGAAGTAAAATTTAAACAAAATCCAATAAATACTTATCTGTATTTTTTGTTTGGTTTTATTTTAATTTAAGTGTATGTGAGCTTTTTAATATCCATATACTTTACAGAAAGTGTATTTTTAAAATGAAGTTACTCATTTTCTTTACAAAAAAATATTACTAACGTCGCATATTCAGGAAAACATGTGGGAAAAAAAATCCAAAGTGATAATTAATCAAGCAGTTTTATACTCATCTAATTATAATCAAGCAAAATCAATTTACAAGCAAAGTTCACACCCATATATTTAATATAAACAAGCTAATACCCTGTATAGTAATTTTACACTCAATCAGCCATTTCAGCCAGCATATTACCAAACACTTTCACTTCATCACATTCAACCTTTTAAGTCTTTTCAGCCTATTCAGCCATTGTAGTCGTTACCAAACAGGCCCGAAGTGTAGATTATTTACACTAAAGTTTAGCTTGAAACCAATCGGGAAGTTAGTTAAATAAATTATTGAAAAACACTATGAATATATGAATATAAAAAACATAGTGTTTTTACTTAAAAACAATTTAAATCTTATTGTAATATGAAGCTACTTTTAGTGAAACATCGTAAATCTAACGGTTGATATTCATTTTCATTTCTCGCATTAGATATATTTCTCACTTGAACCAATATATTTTATAGGGGGGTGAGTTTTAATACAGAGATTTCTTTCAATGAAAAGTGAGAAGTGATCTGAGCTCTTGATCACTTAAAAATGATGGAATGAATTAAAATTTGGGGTGGCAAAATGTTAAAGAAATAATCTGACCAAACCAGACATTAACAGATCAGATCAGACCAAACCAGACCAAACTTACTAGAACAAACTTCCATAGTTATAAAATACAGAGAGACAAGACGTTTATATGACCAAACCAGTTCTGACCGGACCGGATTAGACTAAAGCAGAGAAGACTAGACAAGCAGATTTCAATTCTAGTAAAAGCTCGTCCTTCGCGCACCTATTTCTCCAGACTGTTGGACAAATTTGTCCTCTTAAAATTGAACTCGCTCGCTTCTAGTACATAGCTCACCGAACTCGATGCTAGTAGATTGCACACAGAACTCCTTTTATTGCTT